GGCCGTCTTGGGCCGTCTGGAGGCCGTCTTGGGGGCCTCTTGGGCCATCTTGGGGCTGTCTTTGGGGCCTCTTTGGCCGTCTTGGAGCGTCGGGAAGCCGAAAAGGCGGAAAAGCAAAAAACATCGAAAAACACTATGGAAAATCAACAATTTTAGACTCTTGGGGCCCTCTTGGGAGGCTTGTTTGGGACCTCGGGGGCCGTCTTGGAGACCTCTTGGCCCGTCTTGGGGCCATCTTGGGCGTCTTGGAGCGGTCGTTTGGCGTCTCGGGGCCTTCGTGGGCCGTCTTGGAGGCCTCTTGGGGGCTTCTTGGCCCGTCTTGAGGCCCTCTTGGGCCCGGAAAAGCTCCGTGAACCGCTCGTCCCGGCCGTGCTGCGCTCGTCCCGGCCGTGCTGCGCTCGTGCCGGACCCCCCCCCCCCTCCAAATCGACCGGACCGGGCTCCCGGGGGAGGGGTTTGGGAAGGGGGAAGCATCTCACACGCCGATGATCCCCAAGGGGTCGGCGGATTGTTGTTGTTGATGACGAATTCTCATTTCTAGATACCCGCCCTCTTCATTTTCGATCGTGCCCCCTTCGGGGTGTATCGTGTTTCGCGCAGCCTCTAAGGCAGGGAACCAAGGGACGGATGGAAGGAAGGGACACGGGGGAGGGAGGAAGATGGAGCACGAGAGAAAACAGCAGGAGAGGGGGCTCGGAGCAGAAAATACGTGGCAGGACCAGACGGGCAGATCGGGCGGGTAGACCCTAACGGGCGGGTCGGGAAGGCGGGTCTAGACGGCAAGGTCGAGCAGGTGGGTTGGTAAAGCGTGCGTCCTGCATAGGTCGCGAGGGAGTCTCGAGCGATAGCGCGATTGCCCAATGCATCTTGGAGAAGTCCACTGCGCGAGCGTGATTCCTGAGTGTCGAAGGCGTGGCGTCCGAATAAACTGCAAGGATGTCCCACGCGAAAGCGTGATTCCTGCATTAAATTACATGGGAGTCCCTAGAGAGAGAGAGAGAGAGAGAGAGAGAGAGAGGGAGGAAAAAAGAGAGAGAGAGAGAGAGAGAAAGAGAGAGAGAGAGAGAGAGAAAAAAAAAGAGAGAGAGAGAGAGAGGGAAACAAAAAGAGAGAGAGAGAGAGAGAGAAAGCGCGATTTGGGAATAAACTGTGGGGAAGTATCAGGCAGGAGCCGTTGACCCGTCACTTCTGCAAATAATTATTGGTGATCCCCCCCCACTGGTGCATATTGCTTTTCTCCATCAAAGTGTGCCCCTCGACGCCCGCACCCTTTTTTTTATACAGGGAAAGTCTTGATGCTCAAACTGGGCCCCTGGCCACCGGGTTACAACAACAACAACAACAACAACAACAACAACAACGGCCCCCTTCCTCACAATTTCGCCAGGACCCCCGCTCCCGCCCGAGACTTCCTCGCATTTTATGTAGGAATCGCGCTCTGACTTGGGACTTCCTTATAGCTTATTGAGGAATCGCTCTCCCGGCGCTCTGGAGTCGCGCCCTCGCTGGAGACTTGCTTGCAATTTATTGACGAACAGCGCTCTTGCGTTGGAATTTCTTCCAATTTACTCAAGCGCCGCGCCCCCGACACCCAGGCACCCAGGAGTCACGCTCACGCTCAGGACTCCCTCACAGATTACCTCGCAATCGGGATCTCGCTGCCCTTCGTGGCCCCGTTGCAGCCCTTCGTGGCCCCCTCGCTTTGTTTCGTGGCTCCGTTGCAGCCCTTCGTGGCCCCCTCGCTTTGTTTCGTGGCCCCGTTGCAGTCCTTCGTGGCCTCCTCGTTGCCCTTCGTGGCCCTGTTGCAGCCCTTCGTGGCCCCTTCGCATTCTTTTGTGGCCCCGTTGCGCCCCCTCGCTGCCCTTCGTTGCCCCGTTGCAGCCCTTCGTGGCCCCATATGCATGCCCCTCGTGGCCCCCTCGCTCCCCTTTCGTGGCCCCGTTGCAGCCCTTCGCGGCCCCCTCGCTGCCCTTCGTGGCCCCATACATGCATGCATGCCCTTCGTGGCCCTCGCTCGTTCGCGCCCGTTGTGGCCCCATGTGCATGCCCTTCGTGGCCCCGCTCTCGCCGTTTGTGGCCCCCTCGCTGTCCTACGTGGCCCAGTTGCTACCCTCAGTGGCCCCCTCGCTCCCCTTCTGTGGCCCCGCATTATCTGCCCTTCGTGGCCCCCGCACGTTCGCGCTGTTCGTGGCCCCGTACGCATTTCCTTCGTGTCCCCGCTGTCGCCCTTCGTGGCCTACTTCGTGTCGTTCGTGGCCCTGCCGTCGTTCTATCTCGCTCTCACTTTCACTCGTCGCCGTCGTCGCCGTCGTCGTCGTCGTCGTCGACGTCGTCGTCGTCGTCGTGGTCGGTCCCCTGTCCGTCCCTCTTGGGGTCAGGCCGTCGGTCCGCGGCCGCCCCGCCGATCAGCGCTGCCGCTGGCCAGGCCGACGGTCCGCGGCCGCCCCGCCGCTTGCTGGGGCCTGGCCTGCAGCGAAGAAAGGTATACCCCCCAAAAGGGTTCGATCGAAGACGAAGAGGGCGGGTATCGAGGGTTTGGGCAATACGCGTTATTGGACACTCGAGCAGACAAAGGCGAACAGTCTTGAAATCATTGTTGTTGTCGTTGTTGTAAACCGAGGGCCAGGGGCACAGCTTGAGCAGGAATATTTCCCACGGCAAAAAACACAGCGAGCCCCGGGAGGGGCACTTCAATAGAAAAAACACATATGTTTCGCGAGTGCGTGATTCATGCATAAGTCGCCAGGAAGTTTCGGGCGAGAGCGCGGTTCTTAAGAAATTCGTGCGGAGGTCCCAGGCGAAGACGCGAGTCCTGAATTGCGAGGGCGTGGCGCTTGAATACATTGCGAGGAAGTCACAGGCGAGAGCGCGAATCTTACATAGTTGGCAAGGAAGTCCCGAGCCAGAACGCGATTCTTCGGTAAATTGCGAGGAAGTGTCAAGCGGGAGCCGTTGTTGTTGTAGCCCGCAGGGGCAACAACGCAGCTTGAGGCCCCGATGAAAAACAGGGTGCGTGCCCCGGGAGGGGCCCTTCAATAGAAAAACACATGTTTCCACAGGCGGGGATCAACAACAAACATTCTTCAGTAGCGAGAGTCCAACAACAACAACAAATGCTCCCGCTTTATATTTCCTCACAATGTATTCTCAAATCGCGCTCTCGCGCGGGATTTCCTCACAATGTATGCAGAAATCGCGCTCTCGCGTGGGACTTCCTCGCGGTTTACTCAGACACCCGTCCTCGACATTGAGGAATCACGCTCCCGCTGTGAATTCTCTCACGATTTACTTGGGAATTGCGCTGTCGCTCTAGACCTTCACGCGATTTATGCAGGGCGCACGCTTCAGCAACCCGCATGCTCGACCTGGCCACCTGGGCCCACTTCCCGATCTACTTGTTAGGGCCTATCCGCCCGATCCGCCCGTATGGTTCTACCACAGGCTTTCTGCTGCTAGCCTGCCTCTTGCTATTCTCTCTCGTGATCCCCATCCTGCTCAAACTGTGTTGCTGGCCCCTGGCTACAACAACAGCAGCTCCCGCTCGATGCTTAAGACTTGCTTTATGCAGGAATCGCGCTCTCGAGAGGGACTTCCTGGCAGTTTATTCAGACGGCGCGCCCTCGACTCTCAGGAATCACGCTTTTGCTCCGGCTGTTGCCACGATTTACTTGGGAATCGCGGTGTCGTTCGAGAATTCCTCGCGATTCATGCAGGATTCACGCTTCAGCAACCCGCCTGCCCGACGTGGCCGCGTGGGCCCGCCTTCCCGACCCGCCCGCTAGGGTCTGCTCGCCCGATCAGTCCGTCTGGTTCTGCCACGTGTTTTCTGCTCCTAGCCCCCCTCTTGCTAGTTTCTCTCGTGTTCCATCGTTCTCCCTCCCCCTTCCGTCCGTCCTCTTTTCCCTTGTTTTAGGGGCTGCACGACATACACGTGGCAGGTAAGGAAGATCCACCCCAACGAGGGCACGATCGAAGACGATGAGGGAGGGTACCGAGGGTTTGGGATGAACGGATAGGAGCGAACCGTCTTAAATTGATTGCCGTTGTTGCTGTTGCTGCTGTTGCTGCTGTTGCTGCTGTTCTCGTTGCTGCTGTTGCTGCTGCTGTTGCTGTTCTTGTTGCTGCTGTTGGTGTTGTTGTTGTTGGTGGTGTTGCTATTGTTGTTGTTGGTGGTTGTTGTTATTAATGTTGTTATTAATGTTGTTGTTAGTATTATGTTGTCGTCGTCCCCGCCAGTGACTTGCCCGCGGCCAACCCCGCGACAAACTCTGCTACCCACACGGCAACCCACTCGGCGACTCACCCGCGACCCAACCGCGACCCAACTGCGACCCACCCACATTGTTCTGACGAAAAATCGTCGCTTGCGGCGGACTCTCTGTAAATCTTGTCAAAATTGGCTTCCTGCGGCGGGCTTCCTCAGAGCCTCGCAGGCTGCCGACGTCCCCGCCGTCCCCTCACTCTTATCCACAACTGGGGTGCTACGTATATTGTTATAGCCAAGATCGTGAGGTGAATGTGCGTCATTGGTTCAGGTATGGGATTGCCCTTCATGCTTGCCGATTATCCCCCTCTTCACTCTTGCTATGCCATCTGATTGCACTGTTTGAGCTCCGCTCAGTCACATCGCACAACACTCGACCGTCGCGTGAGTCATTGCAAGTCTACCTTGCTGACGTACGATCTGATGCCCACCGTGTGTGCTTCTGGAGTAAGGCCAGGGTTCGCCTTTTGGTGCGAGGGCCATCGCTTGAATTCCTTCAGGCTGTTTGCGAGTATGCTTATCGTCGTCGTCATCATTGGGGATCTGCGGTCCAGAACAGATGGCCATTGGCGTCTGGACGAAACGGTGCGATCATCAACCGTTACCGCCATCAACTGAGTTACAAGATCGACATCATCGTCTCCCAACCCTCTGTCCCTTCTCCTCTTCGCTCATGGCTAGCTCTCGACCGCAGCACGATTCACTCTTCTACATGCCATCTTCCCGGGCACTGGAGGTTTACATGAACGACCTGGCCAAGTGCGGAGAGGTGCGGGTAGCCTGCGCCCTTTCATTTTTTGCATGGGGGAAGCAGTGCCGGAGAGGAGAGTGGAGGGGGGAGGGGGCAGGCTGCGGAAGGGTGGGAAGACGGGACTTAAGAGCGGGGAGGCGAGAGAAGGGCAGCGCAGGAGAAAACAAGCGCAGGAGAGCAGGGAAGGGCGGGATCAGGTCGGCGGTGTGCTCCAAAGCAGCGGGATTTCGGCAAAGACATGGCGATGATCTCAGCTTGGCCTAACGTGCCCCTGATGTGCCACGGGTCTGGAGCTGAGGATCATCGGCCAGGAGGCTCGTGCCCATAATGCTGGGCCAAGGATATTCGGTCGACAGTCGTGCGCGTAGGCTCTGGTTGTCTCTGCTCGTGCTGCAGCCAAAGCATGGGAATGGGGACCTTGCTGGGTTTGGACGGGGCCCCGGGTTCCACCAGGCTCTTGCTTGAGGCGCTCCCTCTTCCCGCTCCTCGTGCGCCTGAACCGGCGCATCCAGGTCCCCTCAAAGCGGCGGCGTGCCTCATCTGCGGACACTCTCGGCAAGACCTCGGTTGTGATCCTCCTCCTCCTCCTCCTCCTCCTCCTCCTCCTCTCCCGCCCTACCTAGGGAGGTCGGGCACCTGGACACCCCGAGGCGCGCGAACAGCTCACGGAGGGGGACCAGCGCCAGGCGGCCCGCGCGCACCACTGCCACGACTCGGCGCAGGCGAGGATCATGGGCGGAAGACGTATCCGTTTTCGCGGCCTCGCGGGCTGGGCCCCCAGGCCGCGCCCCCGCGGATTCGAGGCGTGTTTTCGCGGATGCCCCGCACGGAGAGTGTATCCGTGCGTCCGCGTACCCGCGGGATCGCGCCCCGGAATGAAGACCGCGAGGGTGCGGATACGGATATTCGCGCCTTTCGTGAAAGGGTACGCAGACAGAGATTCATGCGCGTGGAAAAGCGATGGGCCCTTCTCCACAGAACATCGACGCCGTCCGTTGCCAAGTCAGGCGGCATCGGCCTGTGCGGTTCGGGGTCTGTCTTCCCGACCCCTGGATCCGGCGGCCACGCGCTGGGTCTACGGATCCGTCATCCCTGCTAGCGTGTGCTCGACCAGGGCTCGCGCTGCCTTCGCCTTCGGCAGCCGCGGCTGACCACACGCCTTTCAGCACGCCGGTTTTTCGGTGCCGGAGGCCGCCACCTCTCGTGGTGTGGGCTCTCTACGCCTGAGGCCGCCGCCCCGCGGTGCTCCCCCGCGGCCGCCCTCTCCTCTTCCTCTTGTCTGGTGCGCCCCTGGCCGCGCGCGGCCCGCCGGCTTTCGATCGCGTTGGTGCTCACCTTCGCTGCTGACCAGGAAGGAGAAGCCTGAGCGGGTGGCGTTCGGTGGCAAGTCATGGGGGCCTCGTGTGTCCTCGCATTTCCGTCTCTGGAGTGCACTCGCGTGCGCTATCGTTTGGTGATTGATGAGAAGGCGCCGATTGGACATCGTCCATCGTCGATCAGCGTCGGTTAGAGTTCGTTTAGCATCGGCTAGCGTCGACTAGTGTCGATTAGTGTCGACTCGTAAGAGCCAACAAGATGGTATGGTAGGCTGCCCCGAGTTGCCGCGGAAGGGGTGGCGCTTGCGCGGCCCTCAGCTGGTCCCTCCCCAAGCTGGTCGACCCCCCCCTATCGTTGCCCCTGAGCTGCCCCCCCCCTCACCGTTGCCCCTGGGCTGGCCCCCCCCCTTACCGCTGCCCGTCAGACAGGAAGACGCCCGAGCACGGGTGGCGCTCGCGTGGCTCGATGTCCCCCCCCGACGCCGCGGTGGCGCACCCCGCGGGTCCGTGCGCGCGTGCGGCGCGCAGCGCGGCCACCCGCCGCACACCCCCTGCCCCCGGGGCGGGCGCACCCGAGCAGGCGGGGGCGTCCAGGTGCTGGCTGTCGGCGGCGCGCCCGGGGGGGAAGTGAGAGGGAGGAGGGAGGAGGGAGGAGGGAGGAGGGAGGAGGGAGGAGGGAGGGGGAGGAGGGAGGGGGAGGAGGAGGAGGGGACGAGGAGGAGGAGGAGGAGGAGGAGGAGGAGGAGGAGGAGGAGGAGAGGAGGAGGAGGAGGAGGAGGGAGAGGAGGAGGAGGGAGGAGGGGGGAGGAGAGAGGAGGAGGAGAGGAGGAGGAGGAGGAGGAGGAGAAGGAGGGAGGAGGATGAGGAGGAGGAGGAAGGAGGAGGGGGAGAGGAGGGAGGGGAGAGAGGAGGAGGGAGGGGGAGGAGGAGGAGAAGGCCTTGTCACAGGGCGGCGGGGCCGTCCGAGGAGTCTGCTGCGTCTTCGGGGAAGGCTTCGGGAGCCTCGCAGAAGGCCCGAGGCCTCCCGAGTCCGAGAAGGCCCGCCGCTTCGCACTCTCCCCCGGGCCTCGCCGCCGAGACCTCGGGGGGTGGCGGTCATGGCCGCGGCCATGGTATCTCTGGGAGTTCATACCACTTCCTTCTCACCTCGACGTCCTGGCCTCATCTCCTCTCCGGGCTCCACAAAGAATCACACCCAGGATGGAGTGATGTCTTCTGGAGGGCCCCTCAGGGGAGAGCTCACCGGCCTCGACACGAGCATGTTGTGCTTGTGGCTGTGGTCGATTCGGTCGTCCCGGACGCCCACGTCCCACAACCGGGGCTGCGCTGCTTCCGGTGTCCTGACGACCGTTGGCGTGCGCAAGACCTCCCCGAGGGCGTGTCCTCGACGTGGCTGTGGTCGCCTGCGGCCCCTGCGCCCTCGGCAGACGGGGGCGGACAGCAGAGTGAGCACCCCGTGGGGCGAGGGCGCCCGCCCCTCGAGACCTCTGCGCCGTGCGGCACGCCGCCCTTCGGCGAGGGGCAGCTCAGCCGAGGCACCTCACAGGCGCCGCTCGTGCCCGCTGCAGCGCGCCGAGGCATCGTGGAAGGGCACCACGATACTTCTGGCGCGGCCTCCTCCTCCTCCTCCTCCTCCTCCTCATCCTCCTCCCTCTTCCTCCTCACCCCTCCTACTCCTCCTCACCTCCTCCTCCTCCTCTTCCTCCTATCCCTCCTCCACCACCCCCCCCCCCTTCCTCTTCCTCCTCCCCCACCCCCCCCCCCCTCCTCCTCCCTTCCTCTACTCCTCCCCCACCCCACCCCTCTCCTCCTCCTCCTCCTCCTCCTCCTCCTCCACCTCCTCCTCCTCCTCCTCCTCCTCCTCCTCACTCCTCTCCTCCCCTCCCTCCTCCTCCTGCTCCTCCTCCTCCTCCCTTCCACTCCTCCTCCTCCTCCTCCTCCTCCTCCTTCTTCTTCGGGGCGCAGGAGGCACAACCACATGCAAGGGCAGTGCACGCGGTTCCCGAGGAGGTCGCGCGGCCGCACGACCCTCGGCAGGAGTGGCCTTCTGCTCACGGCTCTTGGGCCTCTCCTCCTCCTCCTCCTCCTCCTCCTCCTCCTCCTCCTCCTCCTTTGGGGGGGGGCGCTCGCTGGTTCCTGCAGGTGTTCTTGCCTCGGGATGCGTTCCAGCAGCGGCGCCCTGCCGAGGGCATCCTGGGGGTGACCAGATCGTCCCCAACGGCCGCCAGAGAACCCGAGCTAGGACGTTGTCTCGGGGGGGCGCCGGTGGGGCAGAAACCCGAGCGCGCGGGCCGATGGCGTCGCATCGCACGCAACAGTCGGCAAGCCACGCACTGAATGCCCGTCTTTGCCCAGGGTCACTCTTGCGCGCAGCCGAGCAGAACTGGCTGCCTCTGAATGCCAGGTGCTCGGCAGCTCGCTCCCTCGGTGCGGGGTGCCGCCGCGCCCGCCGACCCGATTCCCATGGCCCGCGCGGTCAGAAGCAGAGCGGCCAAGGGAATGGGTCCCGAGGGAAGCGGGCCCACGAGGTCCTCCCAGGTTTCGCATGGGGCCCGAGGCTCCTTGGAGGCTTCCACTTGTCTTCCTCGCTCGCTCCCGCCCCTCGTGCCGCCGAGGCGCTGCCGAGGCCGAAGCGGGGCTCCGCTCCTCACCAGGGCTCCCACAGCACGGAACTTTGGCTGTGGACCGCGGGGCCTTCCCCAGGACCGAGCCGTTTTGTTCGACGACCCCTTCGCCCGAGGTGGGCCCCAGGGGCCCGGAGCACGGCGTCGACGACCTTCAGGAACCCTTCCCTCCCCTCGCGTCCGCCGACATGGTTTTTCACGCAGCTGCCCCTGCAGAGGTCCCGGCCGGAGAAGATGCTTGTTCACTCTGTGAACCCGTAACGTCCGTGACGGGGGGTCGCCCTCCCGCTCGCTCCCCTCCCCGTAACAGTACCGAGGGAGGTGCCGGTTCCCCGCAGGCGTGGCACGGTGCTCACAGGCATGCCGTGCTGCTGACAGGCATTCGTTGGTGTTCACAGGCACGCTGTGGCGCTCACTGGCCCCTCCCTCCCTCCCTCCTGTACCCCCCTGTAACGGACGTCACGGGGGGGGGGCGGGGGAAGAAAAAAGCACGGTCTCCGTGAAGTAGTTTTGTCGCTCTGGACCTGCCTTCGATCGCCCCGGGGCCCGAAAGCGGCTCCCGCGAGGGCCGAAGTCGAGGAAGAGACCGCCAGTGGACAGAGACCGCCCAGATCGTCGCAGAGGGCTGGCCCGTGGACCCGCCTCCCTGCGTGCCGGGGGGCAGACCGCCAGGGCCTGGAGCTGTACCCTGGCCGGCACTTCGCGGGCTACCCGGAGCCTGCTGGCTTCCGGAGGCGCGGGGGCCGCTCGGGCGGGGCTGGGCCCCGGGGAGGGGCCCGCACGGCCAGCAGCCCGCAGGCAGGGAGGCCCGGGCGAGGGTCACGCGCACGTGCCGTTTCTGAGTAACTGTGGGAGGGGGTCACGCGCACGTGCTGTTTCTACTAGAAGGACGGCGGGATGTCACTCGCATGCGCTTCCAGCAGAGCTGGCCCCGCAGGGGGTAGGGGCCCCCCGGGGCCGAAAGCAGCCAAAAGCATGCCGTCTAGGTCTTTGGACGGCGCGGGGACGTTAGGGGGAGGGAGGGGGGCAGAGGGAGGAGGAGAGTGCCAGCGAAGCAGGGGCTAAAGACTGGGACGCCAGTGAGACCAGTGACCTCCCAGTGGGCGGGCACGGTGCACAGGACTCGTAGGAGGGAGGGAGGAGGGAGCGAGGAATGGCGGGGCAAGGGAGGAGGGATGAGGGATGAGGTAGACGTGAGCGAAGGCCAGGCTGCCATGTGCTCGCCCTCCCTCGTTCCCTTCGGCTACGCCCACTCGTGGGATCCCTGTTCGCGCGAGGCATCACACATCTGGCCTGTACGAAGTGGCACATTGCCACTGCTGGGCCACGCACGCCGACTGCTGTAGAGTTTGTGGGCCACCCGTGCGCATCCAACCCGCACTGCCCGACAGCGAGTTTGGGCGTTGGTGCGGCGGCTGCGCCTGTACTGCCACACGTCGAGCATGATGCCAGCCTGGGTCCACGTGGGCGGCGTGCCAGGACAGCAGGCGCTGCCAGTGGATCTGCGGCCATGGCTGGCGGCAGCGGAGGCCCGGCGCCCAGCGCGCGAGGCAGATCCCACAGGCGGCGGAGGCAGACGGGCCGCGCGGGTGCAAGGCGACCAGGGCGGGGCACGCGGGGTGCGTGAGCAGGCCAGGGGGACTCGGCCCGCGAGGGCAGCGCCTGCCTCTGCAGGCGGACCCGCCAAGCGAGGTAGGTCGTGGGCGGGAGGGGCGAGGACCTGCGATGAGCAGGAACAGCCTTAGCGGGCCCTGGAAACGACAGGGCCGTTTTTTTACCGGTTCCGTTCTGCCGTTTTTTTACCGGTTCCGACGCCGTTGTTGTTACCGGTTCCGTCGCTGTTTTTTTACAGGTTCTGGCTCCAGTTCCAATCCTGGAGCCGTTTTTTGGCCGTTTCCCGTCGCCGTTTTTTTGCCGTTTCCATTAATCAATGGACATTTTTGGAAACGTTGAAAAAACGGCCCTGCCGTTTCTGGGGCCCACAAAGGGAACAGCTGCGGACATCGACCTGCGGGTACTGGGCTGATCCCCTGGCGCCACCAGGAACAGGGTACTCCATGGCAGGGTGTCCAGCGCAGCGTATCATCAGAATTGCCTCAGTCCCTGGATTGTTCATCCCGCAGTCTTATCTTAGCAGCAGTTTCAGGCGCAGCAGGAGCAGCAAGGGGGTACTGGTGGCGGGAGCGCGGCGCGGCCGAGGCGAGAGCTCGCCTGGGCGCACGTGCTCGTTGGCAGCCAGCTTAGCTCTTGAGCCCGCGGCTCCGATTCTCTGGTCGACTGGGCCAGGTCCCGCGATTCGGGAGACCTCGAGCGACGGCAAGATTCAGCCATGCGAGTATGCGTAGGAGCGGCCCTTCGCCGAAGTGACTTTTGGTGCGGGCCCTCAGGGATCTTCCCGGCAGTGGCATGCGCGCGTGGATTTGCCCTCCCCCTCCGTGGCCTTCGGAAGCCGCGCATTAACGGTCACTCTTGTCAAGGGCCCTTTCTGCATGTTGGCGGCATGTTTTTGCAGTTCTTGTGTAACGCCAGTGCTTTTGGCCCGCCGCACCACTGAGCCTAGGCCGTGGACCAAGCCAACCCTGGCCCCGAGTACAACATTGAACGCGGCAGCGCTGCACCATACGTTGTCCTCGAAGCCCCATGCGACGCCCGTCCGCGGCCCGAAGACAACTGCGCTCAGTGGGCCGCGCGTCGGTCTCTGTTCGCGATCCTATTTGGCTATTTTGGCGGAGAGTTCGGCATTGCGGTTCGAGGTCGGCCCCTCTTGAGGACCGCTCGGGGGCTTCCTCGGTCCAGTTGGGCTCTCTCTATCGCTGGTCCCAGGGGCCGCTCGGGACGCTTCGGGAGCTCTCAATACCGAACAGGCGAGTATGCGAACCTCATGTTCAAGCAAAAGGGGCTTGTTCAGTGACGCTGGCTTCCTCGGCTGATCCCCTGGGCTTCAAGAGGCTCCAAAGAGAGCCCCAGTCCGAGGCGGGGATGTATCCATAACTACCATCGCCTTGGGAGTCGGGTTTCGGGGACTTCGGTGGGCGGTGAACATGGATACATTCGGGGCCGCTCGTGCCCGAGTATATCCAAATCCACCGCCCGCGGGAGTCCCACGACGTCGGTTCCACATGCGGTGTATATGGGCATATCTCCGCCTCGCGCCCAGGACCTCTTCTTGGGGCCATTTGAACACCTGAGTCTTACGGAAAAGTCACGACCCCAACCCCGAGAGCGCTCAACAATTCCTCAATTTCTGGGCATGGGGGTCTCGGGGCTTTTAAGAAGCATGTGCAGTCCTCTACGGACCCGAAGGCACTTGAGAACACTCCACTTCGTGCCTCGCGGCACGGTGGCGGATATACGTTGGGCGTCTTTTTGTCTTCCAAAGCGCAAGGGTGAGTTTCGTCTTTCCATTTCCGGTGGCCGGCTGGCCTGGGCCAGCAGCCTGGAGCGTCGACGTTTTTTTCAGGGCGCTCCTTGGACCGAGGCCAGGGAACCGATTCGTTGCCGAGACTCACCGCGGCCAGAAAGCCCCCTTCTTCTGCTTGCTCAGCGTCTCTCATGGTATCGCGATACCTGGGCAGTTACCAAGGCTCAGGAGGGATGGGAGGCTTCCGAGAAGGCGTCCTGGAATGCACTATGGCTTCTGACATGCCCCTTGCCTCCTCAGGAAGGCAGCCTCGTGCCTCCCCCCTCTCTCTCTCTCTCTCTCTGCGCGCCGCCAGCGGTCTCTGCCAGCGCGGCGCGAGCGAGGGTGTCCTGATGTGCGTGGCCGAGAGAGGCGAGACCTCGGCAGCTCCTCGGGCGACGCAGGAGGGCACCATGGCTGGCCACTTGCCCGGCCAGCCGGCTCGACTTTTGCAGCGAGCGGGCGCCCAGCTCGTGAAGGCGTGCTGGGGTTAGGGCTCCAACTGCGCACAGGTGCATCGTCTGGGGAAGGGGGAGGAGTGCCGGGGTGAGGTCGCGGAGGAGCAGGAGGAGGAGGTGGAGGAGGAGGAGGAGGTGGAGGAGGAGGATAATGAGGAGGAGGAGGAGGAGGAGGAGGAGGAGGAGGAGGAGGAGGAGGAGAGAAGCAGGAGGAGGAGAAGAGGAGGAGGAGGAGGAGGAGGAGGAAGGAATAGATTGAGGAGGAGGGGGGAGTGGGCCGTGTTGCCGCTCCTGCGCGGGGTGCCCAGCCCCATTCGCAGATGCTCGGCCGTGGTCGCCACCCTGCGCCGCCACTGCCCAGGAGAGCACCTCGGCCACCGTCCTGGGCGGGGCCCGCCTCCCGTGCAGCGAGCTCCTCGGGGCGCAGACTTGGGCGGGTCGGCTTCCCGTACAGGCCTGCGTGCTCTTTTGCTGGGGCCTGAGTGCTCGGATACCTCCTCCTCCTCCCTCCTCCTCCTCCCTTCCTCCCCTCCTCCTCCTCCCCTCCCTCCTCCCTCCTCCTCCTCTCCTCCTCCTCCTACCTCCTCCTCCTCCTCCTTCCCTCCTCCTACTCCTACTCCTATCCTTATTCCTTATTAGAATATACTCCTACTCCCCCCTCAGGCCGGCATTAGGGGCCGCATCCGGGTGGTCCCATCCTAACCTGTAAAAAACAATACAAAATCAACATTTTTCTTATTTTTTCCTCTCGACATGGACGTCCTGTCGTCCACGGCGATAATCCATTGCAAAAAATACCACAAAGAGCACACGCGCGCGTTCATGTCAGAATCCTACCGAACACCGTGTGTTTGCAAGCATTTCAACATAAAAACATCAAGAACCCAATGCTTTTTTCACAAAAAATATACAAATTTCCCGCCCGGGCTCTCTTGCTGAAATCATAGGAAAACCATAGGAATCTGAAGAATTCTGTCAAATCCAGCGATTTCGCGTCATCGCGCGGTGCACTCGCGATGCTCTGTCATGCACCCAGGCCGCGAATCCTGTGCAACAAATATACAAAGAGCACACTCGCGCGTTCATGTCAGAATCCTACCGAATACCGTGTTTTTGCAAGCATTTCAACATAAAAACATCAAAAACCCAATGCTTTTTCACAAAAATGCTTTGGGGTGTCCTGTCAGACCGTCGGGCTTCCTCCGGCCACCTCTGGCTTCCTGCGGTGTACCGGGCCATTCTCGACTCGTCTGGCAATGCGTGCGCGGCATTCAACACGCGCTCGCCAGTTCCCGTCGGCAACCGCCATCGCGGCCGCATCAGCTGTACCAAACCGGCTGGCCGGTGTGACTTCGGCCCCCAGTTGTGCCAGCTTTGCTTCTTATGTTGTGGGAGGGCGGGTGGGACTGGGCATGCCATGCTTGACTCGCTCGAGCTGGCTAGCTTGACTCCTATCCTATCCTTATTCCTTATTAGAATATACTCCTACTCCCCCCTCAGGCCGGCCATTAGGGGCCGCATCCGGGGGGTCCCATCCTAACCTGTAAAAAACAATACAAAATCAACATTTTTCTTATTTTTTCCTCTCGACATGGACGTCCTGTCGTCCACGGCGATAATCCATTGCAAAAAATACCACAAAGAGCACACGCGCGCGTTCATGTCAGAATCCTACCGAACACCTTGTGTTTGCAAGCATTTCAACATAAAAACATCAAAAACCCAATGCTTTTTCACAAAAATTGTACAAATTTCCCGCCCGGGCTCTCTTGCTGAAATCATAGGAAAACCATAGGAATCTTAAGAATTCTGTCAAATCCAGCGATTTCGCGTCATCGCGCGGTGCACTCGCGATGCTCTGTCATGCACCCAGGCCGCGAATCCTGTGCAAAAAAAAACCACAAAGAGCACACTCGCGCGTTCATGTCAGAATCCTACCGAACACCGTGTGTTTGCAAGCATTTCAACATAAAAACATCAAAAACCCAATGCTTTTTCACAAAAATGCTTTGGGGTGTCCTGTCAGACCGTCGGGCTTCCTCCGGCCACCTCTGGCTTCCTGCGGTGTACCGGGCCATTCTCGACTCGTCTGGCAATGCGTGCGCGGCATTCAACACGCGCTCGCCAGTTCCCGTCGGCAACCGCCATCGCGGCCGCATCAGCTGTACCAAACCGGCTGGCCGGTGTGACTTCGGCCCCCAGTTGTGCCAGCTTTGCTTCTTATGTTGTGGGAGGGCGGGTGGGACTGGGCATGCCATGCTTGACTCGCTCGAGCTGGCTAGCTTGACTCCTACTCCTACTCCTACTCCTATCCTTATTCCTTATTAGAATATACTCCTACTCCCCCCTCAGGCCGGCAGATAGGGGCCACATCCGGGTGGTCCCATCCTAACCTGTAAAAAACAATACAAAATCAACATTTTTCTTATTTTTTCCTCTCGACATGGACGTCCTGTCGTCCACGGCGATAATCCATTGCAAAAAATACCACAAAGAGCACACGCGCGCGTTCATGTCAGAATCCTACCGAACACCGTGTGTTTGCAAGCATTTCAACATAAAAACATCAAAAACCCAATGCTTTTTCACAAAAATTGTACAAATTTCCGCCCGGGCTCTCTTGCTGAAATCATAGGAAAACCATAGGAATCTTAAGAATTCGGTCAAATCCAGCGATTTCACGTCATCGCGCGGTGCACTCGCGATGCTCTGTCATGCACCCAGGCCGCGAATCCTGTGCAAAAAAACCACGCGGGCGACATGCGCGCGCGTCGCCGCGAGCGCATGCTCAAATCCTTCTAGAGTCGTCGCCGTCATTGGCACCGTCGCATGGACGTCCTGTCGTCCACGTCGCAAAATGCATGGCAAGAATGGGACGCGGCGCACACCCCGCGCCCGCCCATCCAATCCGTCCCATTCTAATTTGCAAAAGACAATACACAGTTTTTGTTTTTCTTGTCAACATGGTCGTGCTGTCGTCACGTCGCAAAATGCGTGGCAGGAATGGGACGCGGCGCACACCCCGCGCGAAGGGGTGACATGGTACTACTACTACCACTACCACTACCAACACCACTACCACTGGTACTACTACTCCTGCCTCTTGGGGCCTCCTGGGCCCCCTTGGGGTGTCCTGTCAGACCGTCGGGCTTCCTCCGGCCACCTCTGGCTTCCTGCGGTGTACCGGGCCATTCTCGACTCGTCTGGCAATGCGTGCGCGGCATTCAACACGCGCTCGCCAGTTCCCGTCGGCAACCGCCATCGCGGCCGCATCAGCTGTACCAAACCGGCTGGCCGGTGTGACTTCGGCCCCCAGTTGTGCCAGCTTTGCTTCTTATGTTGTGGGAGGGCGGGTGGGACTGGGCATGCCATGCTTGACTCGCTCGAGCTGGCTAGCTTGACTCCTACTCCTACTCCTACTCCCTCCTCCTCCTCCTCCTCCTCCTCCTCCTCCTCCTCGTCCTCGTCCTCCTCCTCCTACTCCCTCCTCCTCCTCCTCCTCCTCTTCATTCTCCTCCTCTCCCTGCTCCCCCCTTCTCCTCCTCCTCCCTCCGCCTCCTCATCATCCTCCTCGTCCCTCCCTCTCCTCCTCCTGCGGAGCTTGGGCAGCCGAATGATCCAGGACTGGCGTGGTCCCACTGGGGCCCTGTTTGGTACCCTCCGTGCGCGGTCTCGGAAGCAAGTCCTTGCAACCGATCCGATACACTTTTGCCACGGTAGTGCTGAACAGCGCATACATTTGGCAACAGCTGATCCTGGACAGCAGAATGGAAGTGCCATCCAGCAAACCTTAGTACACGAACGGGAGGCGCGAACCTGTAGCTATCCTGGACCACGCCCTGCACTGATCACTCGGGGTCATGATGAAGTTTGGCCCCTCATACGCACCACTCGGGTAGACTTGAGCTCTCTTATGCTGAAGCCCTCGCACAGCCAGGCGGTGACAATGACGAGCACGCAGTCCCAAGCGTCTTGCGGTCTGACTTTTTGGGACGTGGCCCCGCGCACTTCTCCGTGGGGCAGGCTTGCTTTTCATCCTGAGTTGCGTTTCGACCATCCCAGGACCCGACAGCAGCCTCCACAGGCCCAACTCTGGTAAAACCAGGCCAGTGTTGTTTGTTTTGTCCAGCCGTTAGATGCCTGGGGCTGGGCGCGCATAATCATGTCGCAGTTCCTAGTCAGTTCTCTTCTGGCCCTATCAACGTGTGTGCTCAGTTTCAAGCTTTGATAATAGACCATGTGGGATCCAGATCGCGCGCGCTGAACGAGACGGAGGAGGAGGAAGAGGCGGAGTACTTAGGAGGGGAGGGAAAGGGATGAGAGGGGAGTGTAGGAGGAGCATGAACATGGAGGCTAACGGAATGAGGAAGGTCGAAGAGGAGGAGGAGGCGCAGGAGGAGGAGGAGGAGGAGGAGGAGGAGGCAAAGGAGGAACGCCGAGGAGTTGAAGGAGCAGGGAGGCTGTCCAAGGCGACGAGTACCAGCGGTGTGACCTCTTCTTCAAGAGGCTTGACCGCAACTTCTGCGTCAACGTGGGCGCGCGCCCCCCGTCCTCCTTCTCCCCCGCCTCCTCCTCCTCCTCCTCCTCCTCCTCCTCTTCCTCCTCATCCTCATCCTCCTTCTCCTTCTTTTCCTCCTCCTCCTCCTCATCCTCCTCCTTTCTCCGCTTTGTACTGCAAGCAGAGGAAGGTTATGACGCTGGTGGTGGCAATGACCGCGTTGTCTGGGTGCGGGTCGGTTGGCACGAGTTCGGGGTCCCACCCCTCACATAATATTCATGCGTGCTGTCCCCTGCGACAGCCGCTGCTGACGGGGACGCGCAACAGGCGCGCACCCTTTTGCATTTCACCCTGTTCTTTCGGGACCTGCCTCCTCTGGAGGCAGGCGGATCCAGTCTGCAGTTTCCCGGGCATCTTCTTCAGGTGGAGGGCAAAGGGTGAAATCTGAAATGCCGTTCCGATGGATTTTCGAGGCTTGGATCTGCCAAGGGGCAATCACAAGACGGATGGATTTCGAGGTGCGGAAGTCCGTATGGATTGGAGAGGCCTGACGGCCGGTGCCGCCGACCCTGATCGAAAGGGCTAGGAGTGGGGGGAGGAAGCGGAGGATGATGATGATGAGGAGGAGGAGGAGGAGGACGAGGAGGAGCAGGAGGAGGAGGAGGAGTTTCGAGGTGCGGAAGTCCATCTGGATTTCATCTTGAGCCCTCCGCCCCAAGAACATGCTCAGGTTTCCCCTTGCTCTCTCGAGGAGGACAGGCACCTGTCCGTCCAGGCGGCGATCTCGTCTGCTCACTAGGGCACTAAGGGGGGTCGCCAGCTCCTCCTGAGGATCGAGGTTCGATGGCCGAGGATCGCCGAGGCCTTGGGAAGATCTTGTGTGTGTGTGTGTGTCGGATGGCTCTGGGGCGGGGGCTGGACCTAAACCGTGTTTTCGTTTTCGCTTTGTCTTCGTGTTCCCTCGCCTCGTCTCGAGTTCGCCCTCGCTGCAAAACGACACCGAAATGAAAACGGCCCACGAAATCGCCAAAACACTGTCTAGGTCCACCCCTGCTCTGGGGATCGAGGTTAGAGGCTCGAGGATCGACAGCTCCTCCCGAGGACCGAGGTCCTATGGCCGAGGATGGACGAGGCCTTGGGAAGATCTCGTGTGTGTGTGTGTGTGTCTGATGGTTCTGGGTGGGGGGGGGGAGGGAGGAGGAGGGGGGAGGAGGAGGAGGAGGAGGAGGAGGAGGAGGAGGAGGAGGAGGAGGAGGAGGAGGAGGAGGAGGAGGAGGAGGAGGAGGAGAAGGAGGGGTGGGCGGGGGCGAAAGCGTGCCTCCGAGGGGCCGGCCACCTCGGGGAGGCGGCGCGCCGCCGAGCGGTGACCCCCTCGGCAGCGCCTTTGGAGCGTCCCTGGCGCCCAAGGCTCGGGCGATGCCGAGCCCAGCGGGAGTCCCAATCGACTCCTAGAGACTGTTTTTTTCTGGGGGTCGGGCGATAACCGGGTTTGTCGGGCTTGCCCCCCTTCCCCCGCCGCCCCCCCCAGGATAACCTAACGTTTTGCCGGTGGTGCAGGTCCGCGGGATGGGGGGGCGCGGGCATATGTAGTGCTGCCCACAGCGCGAGGGTTAGTTTATCGGCCGGCCCCCTCCTCCCCCCCGGATAACCTGGGTTATCGCCGATTCAAAGAAGAACGGTCTCTTATCTGTTGGGCCTCCAGCTGTACCTGGCCTCCCCTCAGGCGACACTGAGTCGGGTTGGAGCAAGTCAGGTTTAGGTCGAGGGACTCGGCCTGGTAAGCCTCCAAGCAGACTTCCAGTCGGGAACTTTTGGATCGCGTGTCGCGCCGCCGGTTCTGGCCCACCATGCCTCGGCGGGACGCGCTATCAAATTCGCGGTCCCAGGCGTCCACGTGTCGAGCGTTTCCCAGCCTCCCGCCCCGCGGAGCGGAACGACACGCAATTCGCTTGTCAGGCATAGCGTGTCGCCGGGGCCGCTGCAGCGACACGCTGAGCAAACGTTCCCGACCGTAAAGCCTCTCCTGAGTGTCGGGTGTTGACGGAGGTGTCCCTGGCCCAAGGTGTTCCCAGATGCTGGGCCATGTGGAAGCTTCAGGCGTGCTTCTCGGCCTTGGCTGTGCCCATCTGGGAAAGAGCGTGTTCTGCCGCTGCTGGCAGAAAACGGGGGGGGTCACTGAGGGTTTCCAACCCTTCCCCCCCCTCCAGAAAACTGGAGGGGTGTCACTACCAGTTCGAACCCTTGCCTCCCTGGTCCATCATGAAAGAGGGGGGGGTCACTACCGGTTCGAACACCCTCCCCCCGTCGTCGCCGCCGGCAAACGACTCCCCCTCCTTCCCCACTTCGGATGGGGAACTGTCGTGGGAACAGTGAGGAGGGCGGTGGTGGGGATGGTGGTGGGCAGTGGGGACGGTGGGGACAGTGCTGGGGACAGTGGGGACAGTGAGGAGAGTGGGACCGTAATGGGGACAGTGGTGAAGACAGTGCGGACAGTGCGACAGTAGTGGGGGCACTGGTGGATACAGTAGGGACAGTGGTGGGAAGAGTGGGGACAGTGGGACAGTGGAAGGGACAGTGGGGACAGTGCGACAGTGGTGGGGACGGTGGTGGTGGGGACAGTGGTGCGGGGTTAGTGGGACAGTGGTGGGAACAGAGCGGAAAGTGGGACAGTGGTGGGGACGGTAGTGGTGGGGACAGTGGTGAGTGCGGTGGTGAGGACGGTGGTGGGACAGCAGGACAGAGGTGGTGATAGTGGTGGGGACAGCGGGGAGAGTGGTGGGGACATTGGGGACAGTGGGAGAGTGGAGGGGACAGTGGGGACGGGGGGACAGCACAGTGGAACAGCGGTGGGGACAGTGGGAACAGTGGGACAGGGGCGGGGACAGTGAGGACAGTTGGACAGTGGTGGGGACAGTGAGGAGAGCGGGACCCTAATGGGGACAGTGGTGGGGACAGTGGTCACAAAGAGACACTGGTGGGGGCAGTGGTGGGGACAGTGGGGTCAGTGGGACATTGGTTAGGACAGTTGTGGTGGGGACAGTGGTGTGGGGACAGTGGGACAGTGGTAGAGACAGTGGGAATATTGGGGCAGTGGTGGGGACGGTAGTGGTGGGGACAGTGGTGAGGGCGGTGGGGAGGACGGTCGTGGGACAATGGGACAGTAGTAAGGTACAGTGTGGAGAGTAGTGGGGACAGAGTGGACATTGGGACAGTGGTGGGGACAGTGGGGGCAGTGGGACAGCACAGTGGAACAGCGGTGGGGTCAGTTGGGACAGTGGTGGGGACAGAGGGGACATTGGGACAGTGGTGAGGACGGTGGTGAGGACAGTGGGGACAGTGGGACAGCACAGTGGGACAGCGGTGGGGACAGTGGGGACAGTGGTGGGGACAGTGGGGACAGTGGGACAGTTGTGGGGACAGTTGGGAGAGTGGGACTGTGGTGGGGACAGTAGCTGGGACAGTGGGGACAGTGCGACAGTTGTGGGGGCACTGGTGGGGACAGTGGGTACAGTGGTGGGGACGGTGGTGGTGGGGACAGTGAGGAGGGCGGTGGTGAGGACGGTGGTGGGACAATGGGACAGTGGTACAGTGGGGACAGTGGTGGGGACAGTGGGAACAGTAGAACAGCTCAGTGGGACAGCGGCGGGGACAGTGTGGACAGTGGGACAGTGGTGGGGACAGTGGGGCACTGGTGGGGCACTGGTGGGGACAGTGGGGACAGTGGTGGGGACAGTGGGGACAGTGGTGGGAACAGTGGGGACAGTGGAACAGTGGTGGGGACGGTGTTGGTGGGGACAGTGGTGAGGGGGGCGGAGGTGAGGACGGTGGTGGGGACCTGGGAGTCGTTTGCCGGCGGCGAGTGTGGGGGGGGGGGGGGTTCGAACCGGTTGTGACCCCCGGTTTTCCGGTTTCCGGGGGGGGGGGAAGGGGTTAGAGGGGCGGGGGGTGATTGCCGGGGGGCGGGGGGGGGGGGGGGGGAAGCGGTTCGAGCAGGGGGGGAGGGGGAGAATTTTCGGACGGGGGGGGGGGGGGTTCCCGGGTTCCGGAGGAAGAGGGGGGGAATTTTCTATATTAAAGCGGCGGTGGATCACGCTCTCCCCCCATTTGGAGGACACCATGGGCCAGGACCACTTCCGTGAGCGCCTCTCTCTTCTTTACCTCTCTCACTCTCTATCTCTCTCTCTCTCTCCCTCTCTCTCCCTCTCTCGCACACGCACTTCTGTCGTATCCTTACCTTCCGCGGAAGTCTTGGACCTGTGCCTGGATGGCGTGAACGGGTGGGGTGCTCTCCCCCGCCGCTTCTCCCTCGTTCGTGTCTGTCCCTGAGATTGGCACGCGGCATTCGACCTTGAAACTTCGGCTGCGCTGCGGCGTGCACGTTCTAGGCTGGCAGGGGAAGAGTTGCGCTCCCAGCCGGCGGGGAAGAGTCGACGGACGTCTCTCAGCTCTTGTGAAGCTAACGCAAGTGGAAGCGATATCCTCATCAGATCCATCTTACCCAGGCTCGCCAAGAGGGCGTGAATTGCCTACCGAATGCGGCTCCGCCGGTGGGCCTCACAAGTATTTATTCTTACTCGCCGCCCGCCTCACTGCTCGCTTGGCTCCCTCGTGTTGTTCCTGCATTCCCCCCTTCTCTTGCCCCACGCGCGGGCACCCTACAGTCGGGGCCCTGAAGAAGGAACCCTTTTGGTTGGGGAGGGGCTCCGCGCTCCTGAAGTGTTTCACAGCTTGCCTCAGGTTTTCCTTATGTTTTCGATCGGAAATTGAAGTTTAACTTCTGGAATAAAGGGACCTCGTTCCTTATTTAGGGTTCCTTAGGTCAACGCCCCGACTGTACTCCATAGATGCACGCCAACATTATCTTGGGTCGGCGTCCAATCTCAATACCAACGCTGGTGATCTGCTTTTAGTGAGCTACTTTACGCTGTAACTTTTAACAGAGGCCGTGATGATGATAGCCAGGGTGGGTACGTCCGAACATGAGCATCACGGCGATGACTCCCATGGGGCCTGATGTCGTGTGTGTGTGTGTGTTTC